TAAGAATTAAAAGAGTACATTTCGCAAATGTTCTAGACGCTTTCAGATTATGCTCCAGTAACGTTGTGTACCAATAGAATCCATTCAAGCGTAAAGCCAACTGAGGACATGATGACATACAACTATTACATCATTTGATTTGAATTTGGATATTTTCTTTAGCTTTGTCGCGATCACAAATGCATTTAAATTATAGGTAAAATTCGGCAATTCTGGCCAGCGGACCTGTGATGCGATGAACCTGCGATAATTAACGATTCGGTCTTCGAACAGAATATGAACTTCCAACAGAACTGGTACAAAATAAGACCTGCTCGAGAGAGTACTAGTTCTTTGGTTTTTTTACCAAGCATCCGTTATGGAAAACATCCTCGCTTTATTTTCTTACTTAAGTCTTGAGAACTGATGTTAGTGCGTGTTGAGACCTCGCATCGGCGGCGGAGTAATAACGCATTCCAACTATGCACACCCGTTATTCTCGAATGCAATCGACAGGTATCGAAATAAAAATCAAATTGCTCTTTTATTCAAGTAGACCTTCACAAGTGGTTCTAATTCGAACTTTACCATCAATACAGAATGCAGTTTCACTACTGAGAAGAAACGCAGCGCTTGCTATTTCCAAATATATGTGTACCCACAAAATTAACGAAATATTATTAAATCAGTACATTTATAAAAATGAATTAAACTAAAAGAAACAGGTCTGCACTGAGCACTGGCTTCTTGATGCACTTTTTTTTTATTTCCAATATTGATTTGTAACGCTATTAAATACTTTTTCATTCCACACATTATTAGTATACCTCATATTTATTAACCGTTCGTGTTTATTTTTATTGAACGCGTTAAATTGTAGTGAGTACTTTTTAAATCAGATATTATGTTTAACCATTGTGACCGCTATTTAAGCTGTATTGCTAAACGATTCGATCTAGTTCAGGGCTAGCACTGTGATCGAGTTGTGTAACACCTGCTCTTCTAATTATGAACTATTTATTGTATTTATGAGTATACTATTATAAAAACGTAACAGTGTATTTTTACATTGAAAACATTTAATACAAGATTATTATACCTACGTGGGGAAAATAATTTTGTTTTTCTTTATTTTTCAGTTTGCTGCGTTTAGTTTCACTGATTTTTAGTGATACTACATATATGCTTACTAGAGTGTGTGTGGCCTATTAGAGTAAACCAGGGTAAGACGATTAGAAATACTTGTTGGGTTTGCGGTGGCGACTTATAATTCCAGGCTTGTTTTATTATAATTGCCTTCCTCTCATTACAAACTTGGTATTATCCGATGACATTTCTTATTCCAAGCGAATGGAATTGTGGGGCACGCCACGTATTTCGGAATCATAAAATCTGTTCATATTTTTTCCTTATCTGTTGGATTATTATAAAAAAAAACACTGCAATAATTATTATTTTTATTTCATTTGTGCGACAGGTCAATGTACTTTGATATAACGACAATTACAGAAATCACAAAATGAGATAAAACAGACGTATAATATATGTACACAAGTAATGACGGCGTGTGCTACTAACTAAAAAGAGAAATTGTTTCTACGAAATTTCTCTTACAAACACATTATCCGCAATGTGCTTGCTGGGCGTGGAAATCGTGACCTTGTCAATGTATATTTTAAAAAGAACATTTTTAATAGACACTAAAGAATTTTATGTGTTTGACCTACCAATAAACATATTCATTCTAATCTACATAATCACATAGGTATTCGGTGAAATGCGGGAAAACCGTGCAAGTAAGATCGAACTAAGAAAATCTCTTTCTAGAAGACAGTTTCTTCTAGAGATTTTGTTTAGCAAGGTTGTGTATGCATTAAGTGGATTTTGAATGTACGAAAATTAATAACAACGTTGCAAGCGGTCACCACGCGGCTGTGAGTACGAAGAAGTCTAACAAGAACTGGATTTTAACATCCATCTTTCAGATATCATTCACTAATATCATCGGACAATAATAAAAGTATGCAATTTTAAAGTCATTTCTGCCTTCACATAGTAGGTCAAAAGGTAGTGATTGAACTGATGTTCTGGCCTATAGACCGTAGACTGACGCCAGAATAATAAGTCCTAAGCCCATTGTGAACCCATGAAACAATTGAGAGCACTACTGAGACTCATAAAAACATCTTATTTATTGGACTCAACTAATAGATTGCCGACAAACGAGTGCGGTCCTAGCGGAAATAAAACCAGAGTTAGCCGGTGAGATATCTCGTCTTATTCGACGACAACTGAGAATCAGTTGCTGCAATCATTGGCAAACAATAATTATCTATTCAGATTGGGTGTATTTCTGACTGTCCTCTGTTCGGAGCTGGCATAAAAGCAAACGAGTGCTACACATGCTACTCGACAGCACAGGCGAGACCATCTACTGGGTTCCACATCTCAGGCTACGAAAGTCGCTTCGTAGACTAGAAGCTGGTATGGCGTTTTTTTCCCCCTACCTATTCTATTAACCTCGAGGGGTTATTCTAAATTCGTCGAGCTAGTAAGTGTGACGACGTTGCTAACACGAACCCTAGCAACAACCGTGCTTCGCAGAATCTACCACCGGATCGGAAACGCGACCCACTGTGAAGATCCGGCGAGAAACTCAGTGGGTTGTGTCTGTGGGTTAATTTACTAGTTGAGCCCTTCGTCGCAAGCGACGGGTTCGACGAGAACGATGACCAGTGCTTCAGGTACCTAAAAGCACAGTTAGTGAATCGGCAGGATCCGAAATGACGTGATATGGCGCATCTGGGATCTTCCACTAACACTCAAATTAGCGCTGCTTGGGCCCGACGATTTAGAAAGAGTGTATTATATGTATTGTACATCACCTCAAATACAGAATCTAATTCCTTAACAATAACCACTATAAATATTTCCTCACAAATAGAATAATGTGAGAGTGGAGTGGGGCTATCTGAAATAATGTCCCAACAAGTATTATTATGATTTCATAAATATATCAGTTGTTAGAACTACCAAATCATAATTAATAATATTTGATATTAATAAATAATACGTTCATATACTTACTTATTAGAAACATTATAAATTTTAAAGTGGACATAATAGCAAAAAAGTGCAATTTATAAATGTTATCATCAACCAATTCATTAAAATATCTGTCTATTATTAACAAAACATACTTATGAATACATTTAATTAAAACAGGGTGTATGGTTTACTCTCCTGTTTGTTATTTTTATATTATTATCTCCAATGTTTGTAATCCTTTGCAGTTTTTGTAGTTATGAAAGACTAAGGTGTTATTCATCAATATATTTTACTATGCATTTTACTTCCTATAATATTTATTCTATTTAACATCTTTAGTAGCAAAAATGACACTGTAAGATGTACATACATAAAATGTAAATGTTTTTGTTTAAAGCTGAAAAATATTTTCATGGTGCCTAAACAATTAACTACAATTGAAACATTATTGGGCATGAGATAATTATTATGTCTTTATTGTTCTACATTCAGTTTGAATTGAAGCATTTTTCTATTTTAGTGGAGACTTTTCTATCACTTGTAACTAAAATAATCAATGTTCTGATATTACTGAGCAACAAATTACATAGTAATTTCAAATATCATCTAATTTTTATACTACTTATCAAACCAGCATTCTTATCAGTCTTGTTGAATAGGCTTGAATGAAAAAAGCTATTGCTTGGTGAATTCCTTTATAACTGGATTTTATGAATAGTACTTGTTAAAATCTGGTAAACGTAAACTAAATGACTTTGCTTGAAGGTATGCTTACTATTATCATTGATATTACTATTGAGTTGGTCTTCTTACTAGTACACCCTGTATACAAAAATATCCAATTAAAAAATGTAAATTTTATTGAATGTTAATTTTATTGAATGTTTCCTTTACATCGGTACATACATTTATTCAATAGATACATCAAAGTAGTATAACAGCATGAAATGTGAGTATTTAGTATTTTTATGAATTTATTATCTTTTAATTTCAGTTGTCAGTTATTCAGATAATTTACAAGTTAGATAAATTTGTATTAACACTCCCAATATGGTCTATCATTTTTGTAGAAAATAACAATACCAGGTCTCTGAAATTTGACCCTTTGGTTTTAAGATTGTACTAATGTCATTCAAGATTGACCATCCCAATGTTGTACATTAAGTGTTTGGTCCTGATAAAATCAATGTTCTATCCTCAATTCTAAACAATATTTTATTTTATACCAAAGTTAATAAAGTATAATACTACTTATATAATTTAATCACGTATAATATTAGCTAATACAAAGCTAGTAAAGCATAATAACTTGAGGATGAAGCCTAAAACTGATTAATCTTTTAATTAAATCTAATTGCAATATAAATTATAGAGGATTTGTTATATTGAATGTACCTAGATAGAAAAATAGTAAATAATGAGTCATACCGTAAGTATTTATACACAGTAATGCAACTTATCAACAGATAATATGTAACTCAGCTGATAACTAGTTTCATGTTAAATGAATACTATAATCATCACATATAAAGTCAAGATAAGAAATGAAAACATTGTTTTGCTTATTTAATTTTGAACTTAATTTTTTTTTGTATCTAAGATACCTTATGTACAGATTTAGGATATTCTAATTCAAGTTTATATTTATTGCCCAGCATGTTAACTTAGTCGTGATGTTTTCTATACCAGTTTTGTATTTTGTTTTATTAGGTTTACAAATTAAATAGGTTTTTTTTCCTAGTATGCGGTTTGATTTGTCACTTGTGGTATTTAAGAGCGATGGCCCTAATTCCACTTTAAAAAGTTTTACAATATTGCAAATCGGGTTTAACTAGTGTTTGAAATTAGAAATATTTCGGTGATTTTCTTTGGTCAATTTAATTAATTTTCTATAATTTAAACGTTCAGATATTTTATGTGTTTCTAAAAACTAACATTATTTTAATTGACATGAAACTTTGTTCGCAACTTACCCAAAGCTCAACACCCCAACTCATCTTAGTGGCAGCAAAATTACTTCACATACACCAAAAAACACATTGAAGCTTCACTGACACACAATAGTGGTAAACACAAAAAATTACAGAACAAATTCCACAAATAATATTTTTTTAATCACTACCACCATTTCGAAACACATTCCACAAGAATAAACATGGCTGACTGACGTGACATTTCATTCGTTCGAAAGACTGGCAGTTTGGAGGACTTACACCATAAGCACTAAAGTTGACAGCAAGACTAGAACGGAGGCGAAAAGATTGAATCAATTTATTGTCATGCCATGACTTGAGTTGGGACGGATCTATAAATTATAGAGGGCAGCACTAAAACCAATAGTAGTGACGCACTGCGACACAATGGCGAACCTAAAGTAGTAGTCCGCATCTGTTTTATAAACTTTATATCAATATAATCGTAAACTTAGCTAGTATTTAGCGTATTTCCTATGATCGTAAACTAATTTTCAGTTCACGGTTTGGTCAATAAAAGATGAAAATTTACTAACCTAATTTTATATTTTCATAAACATAAATCATTACCTTTTTGTACAAGTACTTTCCCCCTACGTATTCGCTGGTACCCTAAGGGGCTATTCCAGCTTCTCGTGGATAGGTAGGTGAGCTCACGGGCTCAACCTGAGAAAATTTGCTAACACCAGCCCTAGCAAGTGGAGTGCCTCCCAGAACCTATCACCAGATCGAAATCGCGACCCACTGGGAAGATCCGACGAGAAACTCAGTGGGCTGTCTGTGGGTTAGTTCACTTGTCAAACTCTTCTCTCTCTCTTGAGTTCGACGTTACCTGTGTGCTTAGTGCGAGTTTTTTAAAAATCTCCATAGCGTAAAAGCTAATTTAAATTTGCATGCAGTTGGACCAACGAACGTAGGCAAACGTTCCACCTCCATTTAATATGAGTTAACTTTTACGCTATTAATAACGTTAAAAAACTCACACCAAATAAACTGATCGCCTGGATCTGTTTTGAATGAACACATAAAGCCTTTTTTGGTTTTGTTAAAGGATTTAAGCTATTTATTGCAATGCAAATATGTAATACAAATAGACTTTTATTTGGAACACAATAACTAATGAATAGTCTTTCCCTACAATGTAATATAGGATATTTTGGTGAAAATTTCTATTTAAGCTTATTTAATTCATATGTTGAACTTATATTCTAAAAATGAATTTTAATAATGTAACATATAATTTAAGTTATTGAAAGCAACAATTAAATATCCTGTTTAAAAATGGCAGACACTACTTTATGTTGTTTTGTTAATTGCACAACAATAAAAAGTTAACAATAAAAAGTTCGTTGATATGACAGCAGGTTTGATTTCATCAATAAATGACGATAACGATCATTTTAACCAATCTATAATTGTTTTCAAATTTGAAGTAAAATAGGAATACAGGAAACATAATAATCTAGGGTATATAGCCAATTTATAGATTCCGTTACATGTCATACCGGGTGATAATTTCCTGTAATGAAAATTGACTCGGTAGACTTCTATACAGTTTTAAGACACAAAAATCTTGATATGTCTTTCGTTATCCTCGTTACTACGTGGCTGTAATAAAGATCCATCAGACCCACGTCGAATTAAAGCAGTACGTCGCACTTCCTGAAATATTACCAATATCCAATATACCCATTTAAAATTTTACACAGAACTATATAAAAACATGATTTGATTTATTATTGAGAGCCTTCTGCCTTTAAATAGTTTGTAATCGTCGTGGCCTAAAGGATAAGATGTCCAGTGCATTCATATTGAGCGATGCATCGGTATTCGAATCTCAGGCGGGTACCAATTTTTCTAATGAAATATGTACTCAAGAAATGTTCACGATTGACTTCCATGGTGAAGGAATAGCATCGTGTAATAAAAATCAAAACCGGAAAATTATAATTTGCCTAATTGCTGGTGATAGGACCTGTTGTGAGTCCGTGCGGGCAGGTACCAACCCCCTGCCTTTTACTGCCGTAAGGCGGTAGTTTCAGTTTGAAGAGAGGGGCAGCAGTTTTTCTGTAAAAACTGAGACCTGAGAACATATATCTCAAGATGGGTAGCGGCATTTATGTTGTAGATGTCTATGGACTCCGGCAGTTGCTATTTGGCATCACAACACCAGGCAGGCCGTGAATCCTCCACCTATCTAAGCAATAAATAAAAAAATGTTGATGTTAGTTAAAAGGAGACCGTACAGTCTTTGTATGATTATCTTAATGAACTTCGATCATTAAATTGTTCATTAATTTATTAAATTACCTTCACTGGTTCTAAAATAATATGATGACTTGAACGTCGTGATGTTGGTGGCCCTGTTATGGACGAAGCACGAGAAGATGGCAACGGACTCTGAAAGTAAAGATGTGGAAACCTTATATGCCATTTAAATTTAATGTTAAAAATAACAAGCTAAGAAAATTAACGACTTGAAATTACCTTGAACGCAGGAACAAAGCCAAAGTCTGTAGGCAAGGGCTGTGTTTGAATATTGTAAACTCCTTCTTCTGAAGCTACTGATACTATAGAAGGTCGAGCTGATAATTGTTGAGCTAGCAAAATGGGATCCGCATCTGTAAAAATTTAATTGACATAGCTAACCATACATTTATCTAGAATGTTTAACTGGTCAGACTTTAGTCCTCACCAATATTCATTCCTTTTGCAACTCTCCGAGCTTGTAAGACCCTGCCAGCACTTCTTCTGAATTTTATACCCTTTTCGGCCTCTTTTCGTAGTCTCTGAGCTGCTGCTGCTGATTCAGCTATAGCCATTGATAGAGGTACCATACCCGATCTTTTTAAATTAACGTCCGTAATATAACTTAGACAAATAGCGTTCGAGAGAGTGTTATCACTCGGCTGTAAAAGAGATAAAACACAAATAGTAAAGGTGATTGTATACAATTCAGGAAAACGAATTAATATATTATGTCAAAATTTATAGCACTGTCTAATTTTCATGCTATATTTTCCGATTATGATTTTAATGATTTTGTTTCAAGGTTGGATTTCAGTGGACAATAGTTTTCTGGCAGTATAAAAAACTGAAGAGGTTTTAAAAAAAATGTTATATATTTACCGTCCCAATATTGTTCACGCTAATATCCAAAGACCTTAAAGGCGTTTTTACCAAACCTATTGCTCGGGCCAGTAAGTCTCCGCATGTTGGTGGATTTTCTGCACTTGTTGCAGACCAAACTCCAATTGGTGCCTTCTTTAAAGGCCCAGGCTTGATGCCACAACCAGATATATTCAATCTAAAATATTAAGAATGTTTTTAAAAACACAGAATATTTTGATAAAAATTACTTTAAAAAAATTATGAGAATAATTGTGAAATAATACTCCGTTAGACTGCATCCTCTCGCTATCGACACAGCGATATGTGCTATCCCTTCAGATCCTAAATTAGTGTTTAAGCTTAGATCTAAGCTTCGAATTCCGCAACCAGAATTATTGAGTGCATGGGCTATACTTTCAGCACCAAATGGACCTTAAAGAAGACGTAAATAGATTATAACAACAACGTTAATTTTATCTTTAATTTTTAAGTTAGATTTACAGAAACCGATACAAATATTACCAAATATGTTATCAGCTATCTTCAAATTTCTGAGATTGTCACTTCTTGTAATGAATTTTGCGATTGAAGCTGCACCATCGTCGCCAATTTTACAGTGACTAAAATCTAATGTTTCCAAATGTTCTTTTTCGGAGAGACCTCGCAAGATATATTTGACTTTTTGACAATTCATATCAGTCCTTGTAATTCTAGAAAATAAAATGTTAGACTTTGTTTATTTTCCCAAAAAAAGTTTGTTCTTTAAATGGGAAAATGGCTTCAATGTATCATTTCAACCATTTAAAGTAATTGTTGGTAACTTGTTTGTACACGAAAAATGCACCTGGAAGTCTTTATACGGCTTAGTTAAAGTTTTTGGCCGTTCGAGCTCGACGATTTTATCATAGTAGGTACCATCAACACGCATGGAAATAATTGAATGAAAATAATGCTAAATAAGCTATGGAATAAGTATTTTCATTACTTTAGAGAAAACAGCGTTATGCCTTCATTAGTGGTTTATGATATATATAAATAACTTCATACAGATATAGGTAAATACTTAAGCTAAACAAAATTACCTGAGAATTCTCAACAGTGCACATTTTTCCAAACCACGAGAAAGATTCTTTGCATCATTATTAGTAAATTGAAATTGATCACATCGATAATCAGTTCCAGTTGCCTTTAATTGATATGTAATATGCAATTCTACTAAATTTATCAAACTTCCTAAAGCTGCGTGTAATGAAATATGATCTGTGAATGAAAATCAAAGTCTTGGTTTAAGCAGACAGGCGAGCGGAGTAGAGTGGAGTGGTAGCACACCTCACGATCAATAAAATTTATTGGCGTTAAAATTATTCAAAATTATACAAATATACCTCTACAGATTTTATTTTTTTGTAGAACTTTAGTCTCAGTTTTTCTTTGACTTGTAACTAAATCTGCCATCTCCGGTGACGTGATTCTTTGAATTGGAATATCTGAAGGAATTAGACTTCTAATAGAAAGTGTTTGTATATAAGGCCCACAAAGTTTCACTAGTGTAGTTACCTGCAAATTTATTTATTATATTTCATTATATTTAATTTAAATATTTCATAAAATTCGGTCTGTAATCGGCCGGCTTGGTTCCGACCCAGTGGGATACCCCGAGGCACCAGTGGCATCTCCTGGGTGATCTTTTTCTACTTTTTCAAGAAGAAGAAGAACAAAACAAAAGAAAATATTTAAAAAAGTTTTCAAAAACAGTTAACCTTTTCTGGATCATAATGACGAGGATTCAAATTTTCTAATATATCCGAATAATATTTTTCCATGAATATATTTATCCATTTCTTATCTTTGGATACGAGGGGCGCCTCAATCCATTTGGAATAATAACATTTTCTCCAAAACATATTGCTTTTTATATTATCAGCTAAAATTTGCAGCGGTACATTGGTATCTAAAACCTGTAAAAACAATTCTCGGTCTTTCGCTATGAGCTCCTCAAGTTTCGGATAGCCTGTGAAAAATAAATATAACAATATATAACATATTGAAGGTGCTCGGTTTTTTTCGAATTTTCAAAAATCATAAATCTCATTTTGCTTATTGTTATACTCACCAATCCAACTCTCTGCTAACTTAGTAATGCAAATAGAAACTAAGGATTTTGGATGTTGAGCATCCCAATCAAAATTTTCTGATTTTAATTTTCTTGCTGGCTCTAAATTTTCACTTTGCATATAAGTAAAATAGGTGCTTCTACTGATACTTTCTGGTAAATTCAACATTGTATTGCAATTTTTTAATTTTTTTAGTGGAGCTCCGAGGCAACCATTTGTTTCTCAGAATGTTAAATCAATTCTCACATTACCAACATAACATACTGATCTGTATATTGATTTTAGTGTTTATTAACTGTTATTAAAATTAAATTGAGTAAATAAATAAATAAAATAGCTTTTAGTTACTTAGTAACGGAAATAGTAATATATTTTGTTGGAATATCACTCAGTTTTAGTTTATAATCCGGTCCAACACCTTGGATCCTAGGTTACCTTGAATATTAGACAGGCTATCAAAACGAGTAGTGGCAGAGGACTTCCTGTACCTCTTCAAACAGCCTGATGACATTAGGAAATTAATAAAACACTTTGTTTTTGCACAACTTTGTTTAGGCTTACGATTCGCACTCCACCGAAACCTACTTAGTCTGCGATCAGACTTTCTTTCGTCCATGGCAGTATTTGCCCTATGTGAATGTGGTTCGTTCATGCGGCCCTTACTCACATAGACGCTCTCAAAGCTCTACAGTACCGCTCCTGTAGGTAATTCATTGAAATATCCTGGTATGTGAAATATATTTACGACACTTTAGGCCTCGACCATAACTGTAAGTTAATGTGGCCGCTGCTAACTAAGCTGCTATGTCAGCGTGACCGGGGGATTAGGTGAGATCACTGGGCTCCAACCTGAGGATGTTGCTAACACTAGCCCTAGCAAGAGCAGAGCTTCGTAGCATCTATTTTTAACACTATCTGTTTCCTGCCGCCAAAAAACAGATCAGTGAACTTGTTGAACTCATCGAAGGATTCTACGGGGTACTTACTACTTAACCCATAGCATCATCCCACTGAGTTTCTCACCAAATTTTCTCCGCGAGTCATTGCTCCGATTCGGCAGTTAAGATAATCGGAAGCAATTTAACTTGTGCTGGTATATTTTTTTCGTAGGCTCTTAGGCAAATAGCAAACCCTACGCTTTCTGGCGTGCCCTTGTTCGCTCATCCAAACTGGCGAGGCTGGAAAGATTTCCGAGTCATCAACAATAAATTCATCCCAAGAAAAACAACTTCAGCTTTGCTTGTTTGCAGATGCTTGAGGCTTCGGACTTGCGTGTAAATCCGGCATTAAATGCTAAAGATTGAAATAATGACAGGAGGAACTGGAACGCGTTAAAAAAATGAAGTTCGCTGAATAGGGAATTGAATGTTTGGACATATTTTAAACTTTATTTTGTCAAAATTCTTCTCTTTAAATTGGTACTAGACAATAAAATATATTGTTATTCAATAATGGATAAACATAACAGTTCAGAACTATTAAGTTCCGACTTTTCGCTATCCAAGAATGCAAGTTCTGATTCATTGGATTCTGATTCTAAATCAAGTTCATTGAATTCTAAACACGGACAGGACTCCGTAAGTTTCCTAAAACGATTAATTTATTCTTATTGAATTTTATTGCAGGCCGTTATTTCCTGCAGTTTTAACTCAGTTTTAGTTTAGGTTCACCTTCTGACGATAATTGTTTGTAATCTCAGAATGGCTACTCAAAGAGACTGTCGTACCGCTTTCAGTAAATCTAGAGCTATACATGTCTGCTTGTTTGTTAATCAAATTCATAGTCAAAAGTTTCATTCTGAGCTCTTTAAGGCTAGTATTAAAAAAATTAGAAAAGAAAGAAATATCTAATAAACCTAATTGAAAATAAAATATTTAATTTTCTTTCTAGCCCCATGTCCTCGGAGATATACAGCTGTTGGATGGTGAAAAGGTTACAAGTGTAGCTCGTGATGTAACTTATTTGTGCCCATACAGTGGACCAACGAGGGGAGTCCTGAAAGTGACAAACTATCAACTTCACTTTAGACCAACTGATCCTAGTGCTACTCTAGGTACATTGAGTGTGCCACTGGGGGTTGTGAGTATTATTTTATATTTATATTTTATATTTTTTACAAAAGTAATCTGTTACAGCCTAGCTTGTTTAAATGAGAAATAGTTCTATAAGAAATGGAGGCAATGGAACTGGTCTGCAAAGATTCTGTTATAAAAGCATTAGAACTATAATTATTCATACCCTTTATATCCTAAATCAACATTTTATTAATCAACACAGATTATAAATAACTAAGGATGGCCTTATAAAAATGAATGGTGCAATTAACTTATCCTCATTTGTTTTAATTAAAGGACCTCTTGGTATGCTATAATAAAATTGTACACACTGGTAACAGGCTATTTAATGATGCAGATGTCTCTCCAGTGTTAATGGTGAGGAATGTGAGACAACTATTCATAAGCTATTTTGGTGTCTTGTACACCTGCTTTTTGGTGAAATTGATATGGTACCTACACAATCCTGGTTGAGAAAACTATCCATAAGCTATTTTGGTGTACAAGGCTTTTTGGTGAAATTGATATGATACCTACACAATCCTGATACCTACACAGTCCAAATACAAATCAAAATGAAGTCATTAATTTGCAAAAAATGGCTTCTTTAGTGTGTGTGCTGCTTAGATATTTATAGCAGGCTAGTATGACCCTGTTGAGGAACTAACTGTATGATAGAGTAAAATTTCTGATCCAAATAATAAATTTGTCAAAACTGAACAAAAAAAACCTGAATTATGAGAATTTATCCAAAAGCTGATACAGACTCAGGAACAACAATGAAGGAACAAAATTAAAAATATCATGATCTAAACATTATATTTGATCAAAATCAAACAAAAATATATTGCTTGTTATAGGTTTCTCGAATTGAAAAAGTTGGTGGTGCTTCTTCCAAAGGTGAAAACTCATATGGAATAGAAATTTTTTGTAAGGTAACTGTAACTTGATTTAAATTAAAGTAAAAAGTATGTTTTATCTCATAACCAAGAACAAGTTATATCAAGGGGTGAAAGGCTGGTAGGCTTAAGTGCCATTTTTGCAACATTACAGGAGAGCCATTTAGTTTATCATTTGGGAAAACTATTTTAATAAAATAACTACTTCAGCTATTAGGATGGGGTAAACTTAATTGAAGTTCAATTAAAAACATCGAATTGTTGATGCTAATACCGAATATAATGGACCTTTATTTACAAAAATGTCGAAATGTCACTTATTAAGCGAAATGTTACTTAAACCAAATAGCCGTTCACCCCTCTATATTTTTTCACGATAGTAAAACTGATATTGGGATTCAGTTTATCAAATTTGGAACCAAAACCAGAAATTTATATATAAATAGAGCAAATATTAATTTATATAATTAAATAGTATAAATAAACATCATTAAAATCATGAAAAAAGACATTATTTTAATATTAATTTTATAGGATATGAGGAACTTAAGATTTGCACACAGACAAGAGAATCATTCACGTCGTGGTATATTTGAAAAACTGCAGCAGCTAGCTTTTCCTCTGTCACACCGACTTCCGATGTTTGCATTCAGTTATTCTGAAAGTTTCCCTGAAGATGGTTGGCATGTGTATGAACCCATTGCTGAGCTGAGACGAATGGTATGATATTTAAAGTTAAATAATATGTTTTTTTGTAAACTGAAGGATAACTGGTAGGTCTTTCTATCTTCACCAAGACAAGTTGGTAAACTCAAGAGTTCAGTCAAGAGGGTAAAATAATATAGAATTACACAGAAACAAAAAAATAATGGACTGACTCATCTGATTCATCTGACTGGATCATACATAAGAAATCATAGTGGAATAGGATATCATGAAGAATAGAAATCTTGAAGTATCTAGTAAAAGGAAGTAAATGAAAATCTTCATCAATCAGCTCATATAGCTGACAGTCCTGAGGAATGTACAGTTAAATAATTTGTGGAGCCAAAAAGCATGCTGTACAGGCAGTTCAGAAAGGCTCATGCTTAAACTAATATTTTTTTATTGGCAGATTTAAGCTGATTTTAGGATATATTGGCACATAGTTGACGTTTTCATATTCCTTGTAATCACCAAATGTGGTGGGCCGTAGAGAATATCAGAGAGACAATCCCTACAAACCAATTAATATGCTGAGCACATTAAATATACATCTATATATTTCAGGGTGTAAGCAATGACATGTGGCGCATAACACGAATAAACGATAAGTATGAAGTGTGTGATAGCTATCCGTCTATATGGGCAGTCCCTTCTGCAGCTGATGATGATTTACTACGATCAGTGGCAACATTTAGATCACGTGGCCGCATTCCTGTACTATCCTGGATTCATCCTAACTCCCAAGCTACAATAACCAGGTGCAGTCAACCGTTAGTTGGGGTAAGTTAACTAAATTTATAAAATCACTTATGGCGAATCTTAGGTAAGGCCATTGCCTTGCTGTGATAGTCTGTGGGCTTTTGATGATGATGATGACGTCACTTATCTAAAAATAAATGCAGTATAACTTGGTTTTTATTTAAAAATCTTTGCTTATGACTATATAAGCTCAAATAATCAGGAAGTACAAAAATAAGTGTCACAAAATGCAAACTAGTAAACGGGTATTTTAAAAATATCAGATTTGGTAAAATGAGGATATGTTGTACAGTGACACTGTTCTTCCATATTTGCAGTATGTTCTATCAAAGTAATGACTCAGATTAGAATGTGCCAATGCGTACTGGCGTCGGCGTTTATCAGCTCATTCAATGCTACTTTCTAAGCTGTTTGAAATCCATAATGGCTATTTTGATTTATGTAACGTGTGAAGCTTCATATCGCACCTTTAGAATTGAAATGGCTTAACTAAAACTTTTAAGAAAGTAGTTTCGTACTTTGAACTACTTATAAACATGTAATTTTCTTGATTATAAAACTAAATTTGTTAAATTAAAAATTAAATTTATGTTTTAGTCTAGAAAATGACAAAATACAGTTTTCGTCGCTTTTAAATCAATGCTTACAAGGCTTAAAGTAATAAAATCGAAACTGAAGAATTACAATTCTTCAATTAAATTTTTGTTGTTTACCAAAAAATAAAGAGCTTTTGGATTAAGCCACTTCAATTCTAAATGTGCAATATATTGATACCAAATATTATATAAAAACATGGATCAGACAATACCCTGTATAATTTTAAACTTTTGCCGGGGTCTCTATGTTGACTACTGATACATTTTTAGGTAAGCGGCAAGCGAAGTCGTGAAGATGAAAGGTACATTCAACTAATTATGGATGCAAATGCCCAGGCTCATAAACTTTTCATCATGGATGCTCGTCCCACTGCTAATGCTGTCGCCAATAAAGCCAAAGGAGGAGGGTTCGTACTTAGTATTTCCCGTAGGCAAACTATATACTCGATACTATTGTACTATATACTATTAGAATTATTTTTTTTATTCTTATCGTTTACGAGGTAAAATATATATTAATTTTTTTGCTGTTAAATCTAATGTTTATTATTTACGACATTTTGGTGTTTCAATTTTATCTATTCATTTCGAAAATAATACTGCGCGATGTCGTACAAACATTAGTTTGTCGATCCTGAAAGTACTAAAATTTATACCAAAGGCTACCTGCAGATAGTGCTCCAGTAATAGAACATATTGAGAAAACCTGCTAACAATATTAAATGATAACGAGTAAGGGAAAACTTCAATTGTCAGAATAATTATAACAAAAATAACTGATGCGCTTCATTGCCCGTCAGAAGTGGTGACAACTCATCGAGAAAGTTTTATTTTGGTTCATCAGAGTGGTCGGAATCGAGCGAATATTGATTGCCAAGTTGCTACTTATTGATAACTTGATTAGCACACGAGCAGCGTATTAAAGAAATATAAAAGAACCTTGAATTCGATAGCTTTGTCCTTTTTATGCATTGGTATAAGTTTAAAGTAAAATTTGTTTACAGTTACGAGTCTGAAGACGCGTATCAGAATGCGGATCTGGTGTTCTTGGACATTCATAACATTCACGTCATGAGAGAAAGCTTACGGAAACTAAAGGAATTATGCTTTCCACAGATTGATCAATCCAAGTAATTATTTTTACTTAAAATCAGTTTTAGAATTCAACCTGCTTACATTTTGTGATAAAATATCGTCTCTGAAGTCGTCGTGGCTTAAAGGATAAGACGTCCGGGCATTAGTATCTAGCCATGCACCGGTGCTCGAATCCCGCAGGCGGGTACCAATTTTTCTAACGAAATACGTACTAAACAAATGTTCACGATTGACTTCCACAGCGAAGGAATAACATCGTATAATAAAAATCAAACCTGTAAAATTATAAATTGCGTAATTACTGGTGGTAGGACCTCTTGTGAGTCCGCGCGGGTAGGTACCACTAAGCGTGCGCACTCACAAGCCATCTAATCAAAAAAAAAAAAAATATGTGCTTCTATCCACGGTGTTTCATGAGATTTGATGTGTCCTCAGCGATAGCAGTGCTAGCTTAGACACACGCTTGGGATTGCTGATGTTCATGAACGATCTTAACCATTCAACCCCAAATACTTACCAGTCTCCTAGGGCTTAAACTATATGTAATTTCATCCAGCTCAAGTTTGAAATCGTAAAATATTAAGAGTGCGCTATCTATCTTACGAGAACAGTTAAAGTTCTGTACAAGATGAAATCATAAGTAAAACTGTACCATGGCTGCAATATCTTTAAATATCAGAGGTATTAGTTTGTAGTGCTATTGATCCTAATCACGAAAGTGGCATACCAGTATCTTTTAAGATAGGTGTATGCCACTTTTCCACTTGATTCCTATCATCTATTTGCATTACGTCACTCAATTCCAAGTCATCTATTTGCATTAACAATATTTTCATTCACTTGCGCCAGGAAGTACCATCTTGCCCCTTTCTGCTACAGAACGAAACAGTCGACGCTGATACTGTACAATATAAATTATTTCTAGTTTATACTACACCCTTTTTCATCATGTAACTGTAAACCAATTCAGATGTATCGATTATTTTATTTTTTTGATACATTACAGATGGTTCAGCGGAATAGAAGCCAGCTGTTGGCTGAAGCACATCAAATGTATTCTGGCTGGTGCTGTCCGTATTGTTGATAAGGTAAATGATTCAACATAAAATATATTATTTTTTGTTGTTAATATTTGCTTATTTAATGTCATAAAAAATGGTACACAAATCGTTTGCTATAGGTTGAGAATCATAAGACGTCGGTGCTCGTGCATTGTTCGGATGGCTGGGACCGCACGGCTCAACTGACGGCGCTGTCGATGTTAATGCTCGACCCTTACTACAGAACACTTCGAGGATTCCAAGTTCTAATAGAAAAGGAGTGGTTATCTTTTGGACATAAATTTCAATTGGTAAGCTTGTTTTGCTAACACGATTATTGTACGAACATACTCATACTAACTTAGATGGGGCAATCATCCGATCTCAAGTCACTAGACCATTACAGCTCATAGAATGTGAATGAAAAAAATTTTAGTTTTTTTTTTTACAAATTTGTTTTTTTTAGTTTTAGAATTGTAAAAACATTGACAATATTATAGTTAGACAAAACCAAAGTAGGCACCACATATGTAACGCGTTATATGGAGTCACACAAAAGCGTTATGCAAGAAAAATACTCCTTACACGCGTTTCCTATAATGAACCAATCTACCGTGTTATAGGCGGAATTATTGTATATAATTCGGTGGTAAAAGTACGAGCTCACAATACGCCGTTTTAGAGATTGAGCTATGAACTAGGGGGAGGAGTTCAGTGAGAGGGGCGTACTACGGAAGCATGACTGTGAAGCAGTAATCAATAGGTGCAAGCGACCGAAGCCGTAAGGTCATAAATAACTATCTAATAGCCGATACAGTTTTTTTATTGCTTACATGGGTGGACGAGCTCACAGCCCACCTGGTTTTAAGTGGTTACTGGAGCCCATAGACATCTACAATGTAAATGCGCCACCTCTTATGAGTCCGCACGGGTAGGTACCACCGCCCCCTATTTCTGCCGTGAAGCAGTAATGCGTTTCGGTTTGAAGGGTGGGGCAGCCGTTGTGACTATACTGAGACCTTAGAACTATATCTCAAGGTGTGTGGCGCATTTACGTTGTAGATGTCTATGGGCTCCAGTAACCACTTCACATCAGGTGGGCTGTGNTATACTGAGACCTTAGAACTATATCTCAAGGTGTGTGGCGCATTTACGTTGTAGATGTCTATGGGCTCCAGTAACCACTTAACATCAGGTGGGCTGTGAGCTCGTCCACACATCTAAGCAATAAAAAAAATAAAAAAAACCACCTTGAGATATAAGTTCTAAGGTCTCAAGTATAGTTACAACGGCTGCCCCACCCTTCAAACTGAAACTCATTACTGCTTCACGGCAGAAATAGGCAGGGTGGTGGTGGTACCTACCCGCGCGGACTCACAAGAGGTCCTACCACCAGTAACGTTGAGTTGACCAATCAGTTGAGTAACCAGTTGTAACGTTTGTCTACGTTTGCCGTTAGAGGCGCTGTTTCAACTGCATATAAATTTGATTTGATAGCGCATCGGGCACGGCGACGAGCGACACTCGGACGCGGACCGCTCGCCCGTGTTCGTGCAGTGGGTGGACTGCGTGTGGCAGCTGCAGCAGCAGTTCCCGACGGCGTTCGAATTCACAGAACGACTCCTAATAACTATAGTCGATCACCTATATTCGTGTCGCTTCGGAACCTTCCTGTTCAATACTGAACGGGAAAGGGTAAAGGAAGGTACTAATTTTTTTTTTTTTTTATATAGAATATGTAGGTACTTACCAAGTAATTTAAAAAAATAAATAATAGTTTAAAAAAACTAAAAAAAAATACGCTTTTATTGAGGAAAAATTATTTTACTGTAAAAAAAGCGTGAGGTGCATTGTATCAGTAGTTACAAATATTTTATGAACAGATATGAGTAGAAGGGTTATTTTGATAATATACTGAAAAGCACCCCACACTTTTTTACAATAAAATCATTTTTTCTTACACTATTCTTAAATCAAATTTATTAAAATTTATTTTCTATTTTTTAGTTGGATTTTCTATAAAAGCGTATTTTTGTAGTTTTTTTAAACTATTATAGTTAAATTTCGATTTTTTTAAATTTTTGTTTTTAAATATTGAATTGTCATCGGTCCTTAATAAGTATGCCAAATTTCGAGTTAATCCGACGTTTTGAAGGGGTCAAAATCATGTTCAAAGATTCCGTTTCATACTAACATACATACGTCTAAAGCTAATAAAAGCATATTAAAAAATAGAAATAAATATTTAAGTTTTAAAATGTACATCGTGATTGGTCTACTATGCTAATCCTAGGAAAAAAAATTGCAGTTCACATGCGGTAAAAGTTTTGTATCTCATTGTTTTGCCGACCTATATACCCTATAGTTATACATACATATTAGTTCTACTATCGCTTTCCAGCGTCATTTCTTTTTATCGAGCTTTGTACCACAACTTTGTCAAAGAAGCTTTAATAATTTTTTTTTGTGAAGAATGAATGAACCGTTGATTTCGAATTCTCATGTAAGCACATTTGGTCACCATTACAATTGTGTATTTTAATCTCCATTAGAGGATATTTATCAAACTACTAGCTGACCCGGCAGACTTCGTAGTGCCTCAATCGATAAATAAAAGACCTATACTTTTGTATAAAATAAACTTAAAACAAAAAAAAGAATCCGTCCGACGGAGGACACATCAAAGTAAAAATAAAAATGTAATTTTTATTTCATTCCAAGCACTTTCATATTTATATACCTTTTAAACCTTCTCTGGACTTCCACAAATAATTTAATACCAAAATAAGCCAAATCGGTCCAGCCGCTCTCGAGTTTTAGCGAGACTAACGAACAGCAATTCATTTTTATCTATATAGATAGATAGATATAGCCATTTTTTTACTTATAAACATTGCCCCTTATTATTTTTGTGTATATATACATATTATATACTAGTAAACATATTATATACTAGTAATGTTCGGAAATCTTTTTATTTTTATAACCTAGTAACGATACCTTTAAGTCAATTGAACACTAATCGTTTGTTCTCGTATTAACGTAGTGGTTGTCATTAAAATATGTCAATTTTGCTTTTCAGAAGTGAAGACTAAGACCGTATCTCTATGGTCTTATATAAATAGTCGTCAAGATTTGTATTTGAATGCGCTTTACTGGGGCTCGTCGTCCGGCGCCACGTCGCCCTCCTCGCCGTACTCGAGGCCTCCCGTCGTGCTAGTTCCTGTCGCTTCATTAAGGGTCATCAAACTGTGGAAAGCGCTGTACTGCAGATGGAACCCAATAATGAGGCAGCAGGTAAATATAATATCTTCACCGTGGAAGTCAATCGTGAACATTTGTTGAGTACGTATTTCATTAGAAAAATTGGTACCCGCCTGCGGGATTCGAAACCTTATCCTTTAGGCCACGACGACTTCGTAGATTATAATGGTTTAATACAACATATCGACAGTAAAGTTTGTGATTACTATTGGTTTAAAGTTTAAAATATAGTTTATTTAGTAACTAGACGAGGTTCGCGGTTTTATCTGTATTGAATTGAATTATTCAGAGAGAATAGAACATGGTGCTATCTCTGGATAAAGAATTACGTGTGTCACAAAACAGTCTAAAAATTATCTAAGTTCAAAATTAAGTTCCACTACAAATAAAATTTTGTATTTTGTGTTTATCACAATACCCCCTACACAATTAAAACCCCAACTACCCTTTTAGATATCATTATTATTGGTATCTATTGTTTTTGAACAAAACTTAGTTTTTGTTTGGTAATCGGATAACATCATGACATATGGAGAAATATGTTTGGGCCTTTTGATGTGCGTGTTTTTTTTTTATTGCCCTAGTAGACAGACGAGCATAGCATTATGGTTAACGACGCCCATGGACTTCAGCAATGCCAGGGGCCAAGCCGCTGTGTGTGTGTGTGTTTTTTTTTTGTTGCTTAGGTGGGTGGACTAGCTCACAGCCCACCTGGTGTTAAGTGGTTACTAGAGCCCATAGACATCTACAACGTAAATGCGCTACCCACCTTGAAATATAAGTTCTAAGGTCTCAGTACAGTTACAACGGCTGCCCAACCTTCAAACCGAAGCGCATTACTGCTTCACGGCATGGCACGGTTAAATGATACGCCATGTATTATGTATCAACAGGATCCGATATACCAAAGATCACGTGAGCTGGTGGCTCTCCGCGCGCAGCTGGAGGCGGCGGTGGCGGCGGCCGCCGGGGACCACGCCGCCAAGCAACACCGCCGCGGCCTCACGCCGCCCAGGGTCGCCAGCCCGCACCATGTCTGAACACCACAGGAACCCCACCGGACCCCGCGCACATCTTAAGATATTCTAGAAAAATCCTAACGTCCAGAAGGTAACCTGCGGATGAAATTTCTTAAACACCTCTAGATTACGAAAGAATGCCAGGATACTTCTATTAAAATTTATACAAATATCCTTGCCACATAGTTTTGTAAAAGCATATTTTACATTTTTAACCTCCTCAGGGACATTGGCACATAATATGTGTCTATTAATTTTATTTTAAATTATCTATGTTTCATTCTATGCTAAATAGCCACTTATGTGGGTATTTTATTTTAATGAATAATCACTATATTTGTTTTTTAGTAACTTTTTTTTTACTTGTTGAATTGTTTTCAAAATAAAATGACCAAATCGTAATAAATAATAAATTAAATTCTTGTTTTTTGTACTTTATTTTTTTTCCCCTGAAGAGGTTAAACAGTAAAGAGTCAAGACGAAAAATGGACAGCTATTATAGGTAGTTTTCCAATTACAGCACAAGAGCGCATTATGCGGCATAATGCTCAACGTTGAATGTTCCAACTACAGCAACGCTTCGCACAATCGAGCACTCTCAAAAGTACTGCTCTCGCGTGATATTTTGCGAAATCGATACCGACTCAGTGACAGAAAATTGATAAGTGTTTTTTCTTTAAGTTTTAAGGCATTGATCGAAATTTTGTTTATATTATCGTTAGTAATATTATTTAATGTTGAAAAAAATTGTAAGGCTTTCGTTTCGTCGTAGTTTCTTAGAAATAATCAATGTTAATTAAAACTGTGCTAACTTAGCGCACTCTGCTGATGCATTTGAAAACTAATTCACGTTCCAATTAAGCTTCAGCATAATTCGGCATTGTGCNTTGATCGAAATTTTGTTTATATTATCGTTAGTAATATTATTTAATGTTGAAAAAAATTGTAAGGCTTTCGTTTCGTCGTAGTTTCTTAGAAATAATCAATGTTAATTAAAACTGTGCTAACTTAGCGCACTCTGCTGATGCATTTGAAAACTAATTCACGTTCCAATTAAGCTTCAGCATAATTCGGCATTGTGCGTCACTGAGTCGCGTTATGCTCTGTAATTGGAAAACTATCCAAATCACGCAAGCATTTCAATTGTTTTTATATTCCGTTTATAATATTGTCAGGGATAAGTACTAAGGAGCTGAATATGTTTGTTATGTGATTACTATTGTACACAGCTGTCATGTCCCCCCTCCCGCACCCCTCTCCACCTCCCGAACTCCCGTCCCGTCTTAACGATAAGTCTTTTAATCTATGTGGTATTGTTCAAACGATGTCAACACCAATGTCTAAAAAACATATTGAAGCGTAAAAGTTAAAATATATAATTTTAAATATGAAATATTTATTTAATAATTTTTTTGTGTATTTTTGTAATAAATTATAGTGTTGCCTTTAAATAGAAATAACGAGTTATGCATTTATTTTAGTTAAGTAATTTAAACACTACAATAATTTAATACACTGTTAAATAAAGAAAATAAAAATCAATATTATATTTAAGTTGTAATGTGTAAAAAAGAATATTTTTATGTGACGTTCGCTTATATTGGAACTTCGCGATATTGCATCGCCAACAAAGAGCTAACAACGATCTTTAATGATTACTAATGATTTCTATAAAAACGAAATTCAAACACTTCAAGCTGTCAACGAATATTTTGCTATGCGATTTTCAACCTTAAGAATATATTCTTAAGCCGGTAGCATTAAAGTCTTAAACGTAATTAATAAAAATAGCAGTAGTTTATTGTGTCACAACCCAAATACGTTTAGGATGGATAAATGAATTGAAAAAAAGCGAGATTTTGATATTAAAATGTGTACGTAGTTATTGATCATTACATTTACGGATTAATTTCGGATGGAACATAAAGACAAGAATAAATTCTAAATTTGCTGTTAATCATATTACTATGTACTTGTGAGAATTGAAAATATCTTTCTTGGTCATTGAAGTTTTTTATTGTATAGATTAGTGAAGGTGTTTACGCCCCACCTTGTTTTTTTTATGAAGAAAGGACTTTTGTTGGCCCGGAGGCCTTTCCAGTTTGACCAAGATAGGTGGGCGAGCACGGGCTTAGCCAGGAGAGGCTCCACCTAGTGTGAGACGGTTAACGGAAGCCATAGCTAATACAATGTGATTCCAGCCTCTTTTCCTGAGATATTAGGTCTCACTTGTACAGTATATCAGAGTATAGCAGCTGCTCCCAACCCTTGAAGCCTCAATGCAGGACTGCTTTGTGGCAGAAATAAGATGATGGTACGGACTTATAGTACACTGCACCAGTAATTAATTATTTCACTGTAGTAAGTGGCTCCCTCCTTTAGCAGCCTACGTAATTTGTACGTCCGATACTCTAGGTACGTTTCGAAATATCCATAATAAGAAATGTATACATTATTTTAAAGATATTTATTATTAAACTAAAGTATTTTTGTTAGTAGAAACCCTTAAGTTTTTAACACATTTTTATTTAAGTCATTTTCTGGTATTTCATATCGAAAAATTTAAATGCTTTTAATATTTACTCTAGAAAAATTAAAAGTGCATTGAAAACGTCTTATAATACGTATTATTCAAAATATGTGACAAACGTGTAAATTAGTTATTAAGTTTATAGTTGTGTAAATATGAAAAATATAAAAATGTTATTATATGCCTTGATTTAATTGTGTGTGTGTTTTATTTAGTTTGTAGAAATAAATTTTTGAAAATTTGTTGAATACTTTTCACTATTTGACTATATTTACAGGATTAATATATTACATAATCTAATCAAAACTTAATAATTACGTCAAACGCTTTTTTATAAACAATTGGCCACCACTTATCACCGGTTCAATCTTGAACCGAAAACATAGAGGGGCGATAAATAAATTACATCGATTTGAACTTTGACTTGCGAGGCATGAGATAGCGCAGATGACACCGCCATCAGTCTCTCGTTGTGCCCTCGGGGAATACATCACAAAACATTCTTCAATCAATCGCGCCGGGAGTGACCGCGTATTCGATTTAGTGTTCCGAAAAAAATGTTCAAAGTCATACGAGACGGCAGCGTTAGGGTAAGAGCAAGTAATTTCCTAAAACGATCCAATACGATACGATTTTCGAGTGGCGCCGGTTCCAAAGATGAGGTCGTGTCGTCGGCCGATGTTGTTATTATCGGTGAGTGTAATTAGTTTTTTTTTGTGACATCAACTTAAGTGTTAAATTAATATTCACACGAATATATTGTAATGTGAAATCATTAATACTCAACCAAATTGTAACTGGGAGTCGAAAGATAATTTATAATGAAAAAAAAAATACAAATACTTAAACTACTATTGCGCGATTTTGATGCTCAGACAATATAATGTGTACAAGTGATCTATCCAAATTGGACGATAAATATGTCAACTGCCGGTCAGATAGTGTACGAAGTTCAATTTTGTTTCTCAAGAGGTTGCGATAAATGACAGGAAGATAAGGCGATTTCAAAAACCTTTGAATCTACAATAATGACGTCATAATATTCCAGGGGGAGGCATAGCGGGCTGTAACACGCTCTACCAGCTATCGAAGCGAGGCGTGAATGCGGTTTTATTAGAAAGAGCTAAATTAACAAGCGGAACGACATGGCACACCGCCGGTGCGTATTCGTAAATTACTATTATTGGTATAACAATACGATTGATAGAAGGACGTATAAATTAGGACAATGATTTAATTCAAATCAATATTTTTTTATTGGCTTTAGTGGTTTAGATAATGTTGCCGTGTGTAGCGACAGTTTGTGTAATGTTTTAATGTTTATTGTAACAAAACGACGATTTAGCTACAACTAATTTAATTAAAACTTTTAATAATCTCGCGTTTTTATTTTCATTTGATTATTCATTTAATATTCATGACTGATTGGTTGGTCCAGTAGTTCGCGTCCCTGACTGGTGCGCCGAGGGTCGTGGGTTCGATTCCCACATCGGGCATATATTGCGTGATGAACAGGTTTTGTTGCTCTTTGTCAATGTGAAACGTTCCTTTGTTTTTTTATTAGGTATTTCTTGTTCAATAATAAATAAATTGACAATCATAATTGATATTATGATGTGATATGTAGATTTTAATTCTCTATAATTAATTAAACATGTCTGTGATTCACGTAAAATTCCCAAGTTAACATTTAGAAACATTCTATTTCATTCTCACACAGCTTAAATCCTATAGATTTAAATGTTTCTTTTTAATTAAGGATATATTTAATTGAGGAATACTTTAGGATTTTGCATTTATTAAACGCAATTGCTTAGAGACAAATGTAAAAAATGACGTTTTACAAAACAGCTATTTATATTAAACCGCACTGCTTAGATACCATTTTTGATAGAACCTATATTAGTAAAAGATTACTAGGAATTACGTATTATATATAGGGTTTGTATAGGAATGGTATGGTCCCTTCGACCGTGCGATTTGGAAGTAAAATTGCTTCGAGATTCGAGAACTGTATACAGCGCGCTCGCGAAAGAAGTAGACGATTACGCCGGATGGATAAACAATGGAGGCATGTTCATATCAAGAAGCACGGTTAGTTAAAATTTAACTAGGTAATAATGCATTATGATGGCTTAAGATGGGTCCGGAGACCCAATTTACCTTTATTACCAGAGGATCCAGTACCTTTGTTACCTAAATACTTTTGAAATTATTTCTCTTTTATTTTTTCTCTGCCACTGACTAAATAATAAATACTGTATGTAGGTTCGTACACAAGAGTATTTACGTCTTCATACTTTGGGTAAAGCAATGGGAATCCCCAGTGAAGTGTTGGACCCTCATGAAGCGCAGAAAATCTTTCCACTGTTGGACCCATCAGCGTTCAAAATGGCTCTTTACGCAACGGAAGACGGTACTATCGATCCGGCGATGGCTTGCAGTGCGCTTGTCAAGGTTGCTAAGAAGAACGGTGCAAAGGTAGGTATTTATCTTTTGGAATACCGTATTAGTAGGTACATTGTGCACCAAGGGAGAAAAGTAGGACATTTCCTCCCGCAACCCTCAAACACAATATTGCAAATTACCCGAGCACAACAATGGCGGAGAATTTTAGGTGCGTGAGAGCAGACGTAGGTAGGAGAAAAAACTATATTTCGGCATAGGTAGGAGAAGTATATAGTTTTTTCTCCTACCTACGCCGAAAGTTCGGTTTTCGTCCCGCTGTACAGGGAAGAAAGTCTTAACTTTTCCTCCCTAGTCAGCAATGCCTACCGTTAAGTACTCTCTACAAGCCTCGTTTGAAGAGTGACAGGTCCATTACATGTGTT